CTGCTTTTGAACTTAGGTCTTCCTGACTCCAGGCCCAGCACTCCATCCATTGATTCACCTTGCTGTGTGAGAAGGGGGAATCGAAACTCAGGTTTCCCTAGCTCTGAGTCTGGCTTACTCTCCACCACTTCTCTCCCTAAAGGAGAATAAAATAAGGCTGGAAAAGAAGATTTCAGACAGACCAGAGGTCCTGAATTTGAGACTCAGATGGGGCCTGGCACCCATCATGACCAACACAATCCCTGCTATGTACCATATACCATAAGTGGTATCAAACCAGCCTTTACTTGAAGAGCTTTCGTGATGGGGAACTTACTACCTCTCCTGGGGCTCAGCCTTAATTGCTAGGAAGTTTTCCCTGACATCGGATTGAATTCATCCTCTTCTAACTTCTACCTGTGATTCCTAGTTCTGCCCACCCAGACCAAGGAGAACAAATCGAATTTGTCCTTTACATAAAAACACAATCATCATGCCCTCCCTGAATCTTTTCTCTTCCAGTTAAACACCCACTCATTCTTATTAAACAGGAGCTCATCGTTCTGTTTGGTGCCTTTGGACGCTCCCCCAACTTCTCAATGTCATTCTTAAATTGTGGCACCCAGACCAGAACGTGTTCCTCCAGATGAAGCCTGATGAAGGCAGGGTGCTCCCTGTTCCTGGAAGCCAGCGCCCACTCCATGGAGCTCAAAGATTGCATTAGCGCTTTTGACAGTTTCATCATATGACTGATTTATGTTAAGCTTGTGTCCATTAAAGTCCCCATTACTTTTTCCACAGCAACAGCTGTCTAACTATGCCTTCCCCTTTTATACTTAGGAAATTGAGTTTTGGTATCCAAGTGTAGGGCTTTACATTGATTTGTGTTAGATTTTGTGTCATTAGATTCAGCCCAATGATCTAGCCTATCAAAATCTTTTTAGATTCTGATTCTATCATCCAATATGTTAGTTATCTGCCCCCCTCCTTCCAGCCCCAGCCCCATTTTGTGTCATCTGCAAATTTGATGACCATCTCCTCTGTGCCTTTATGCAGATCACTGATTAAAATCAGCCCAGGACAAGCCTGGAACCCTGAGGGATTCTACTAAGGCCAGCTAGGGAGCACAGTTGGTAGGGCCCTGAATCTGGGGTCAGGAGGACTTGCATTTGAATCCAGACTCAGACACTTACTATCTGTGTCAAGTCACTTCATCCCTGTTTGCCTCAGTTTACTCAACTGCAAAATGGAAATAATGATAACACTTCCCTCTCAGTGCTGTTGTATAGACTGAATGGAATACATTTGTAGAGTACTTAGCACAGTGCCTGGCACATAGTAGGTGCTATATAACTGCTTATGGGTCAGTCGGATGGTTGAATGGATAAAGTACTGGGTATGGAATCAAGAAGACCTGAGTTCAAATTCTACCTCAGACACTTACACTATTTGACCTAGTCACTTAATTTCTGTTTGCCTTAATCCATGGAAGAAGGAAATGGCAAACCATTCTAGTATCTTTGCCAAGAAAATCCCATGGACAGTATTGGTGTGCTATGTCCCATGGGGTCATGAAGAGTTGGCTATGATTGAACAATAACAAATGCTTATGTCCTCCCTCCCCTGGAGATCTGCCTGGTACCATGTTGGTATTGAACACTAACAGCTAATCTTTGGGTCCAGTCATCCAGTGATTTCTGGATCTAAGTAATTGCTGTTCCACATCTCTCCACCTTCTCCATGAGAATAGTACAAGATTCTTTACTACAAGTTTTGCTAAAACTTAGGAAAATCTTGTCCACAGCATTTCCTCCAAAGAATGAGTAATCCTGTCAAAAGAGACAATGAACTTAATGGGGCCAGTGGTGTTCTGAATGATACCAAGCTGGCTCTTTTGTAATTACCACTTCCTTCTCCACATGTTGGCTAATCTTTTATCATCCACTCTAGAATTTTCCCAGGAATGGAAGCCAAGCTCACCGACCTCTAATTGGAAGACTCTGATGTCATCACTTTCTTGAAAATGTGGACTGCATTGTCCCCTTTCCCACCTTGTAGGCCATTGCCATCTTCCATGATCTTTCAGATATCACTGACGGTGACCTGGCAATCCTATCCACCACTTCTTTCAGCACCAGAAAATATTGTTCACCTGCGCTAGATGGCTCAGTGGACACAGCACTGGGTCTGGAGTTAGGAGACCTGAATTCAAATTTGACCTCAGACACTCCCTAGCTGTGTGACTCTGGGCAAATCACTGAACTTCTGTCTGCCTCATCTGTAGAATGTGAACAATAATAATACCTACATTTCAGAGCTGGTTTGAAGATCAAATGAGATCATATTTGTCAAGCACTTAGCACCGTGCTTCGCACATAGTAGGTGTTTCATAGATGCTGTTTTCCTTTCTTAGTATCTCTGTGCTTATATTAAAGACCAACTTCATGCTAGTCAGAATGGTTCTCTCATTTCTGGTGTGAACCTGAAATGCCTGATTGAAGAGTGTGTTTGCATTTTATCCTGCAGACCACGGGGAGCCACTGAAGAGAGTTCAGAAGTGACGTGGTCGTGCCTTGGTCACAGAAAGATTATTTTGACAGCTAGGTAAGGAATAGATTCAAGAAGAGAGAGCCTTCTTGGAAGAAGAGAGACCACTTAGGAGGCTACTCGGAGAAGTGATACGGACCTGAGAGTTTGGGTGGAAAAAGAGGGGAGTGATTCGAGAGATGCTGTGGAGTTGAAATCGACAGGACTTGGGGATGAATTGGATATCGGGGCTGGAAAGGATGGAGGGAAGAAGAATCTGAGATTCTGAATCAGGTTGGCTGATTGTCCTCAAAAGAAGAAAGGAAGTTTGGAGGAAGGGCAAATTTAGGTGGAAAAGAGGGATTCTGTTTTGGAGGCACTGAATTGGATGCAGCCTGTGGCAGTGGACTGCAGGGTACGGAACATCGATATGGATTTGAGCTCAACTCCCACATCAGATACTTACTAGCTCGATGAATCTGGGCAAGTCACTCTATACTAAAGAAAGTAGCTAGCATTTAGATAGCATTTTAATGTTTGCAAAGCACTTTATGTCATCTCATTTGGCCTCCTAATAACTCTGTGAGGTAGGTACTATGATTATTGTCCCCATTTTGCAGATCAGGAATCTGAGGCTTAGAGAAAGTAAGTAACTTGTCTAGGATTACACAGCTAGTTAATGTCAGGGGCAGTATTTGAACTCAGTCTTCCTGACTCCAAGTCCAGCAATCCATCCACTGTGTCACCTAACTGTATACTTAATCACTCTGGACCTCAATTTCCTCATGCATTAAAGGAAAGAGTGGATATAATGCTCCCTAAAGTCTCTTCAAACCCTAAACATGTCATTCTATGTGCCACAAGGTCACTGAGATAGAAGTATCCAAAGGGCAGTTGGAGATGTCAGATAAGAATTCAGGAGAGAATTTAGTATTGTTACAAGTATAGACTTGAATATCACAGTAAAGAGAAGGGTATTACACACATAACTGATTGGGATCACTGTGACAGAGTGGAGAGAAACAAGGCAAGAAGAAAAGGACCTTGGGGGGAAACCAGCACTTAGGGATTGGAAGATGATTGATGAGTCAGGAAAGGACACTGAGAAGGAGGGAGCAGAAAGACAGAAGAACCAGGATAAGAACATTGTGGAAGCCAAATAGAGGGGAAAGTCGTCATTGGGAGGGTCTGGATAGCAGGGTCAGAAGGCCAAGAGGAAAAAGAAATGTGAGGACTAACACAGGACCATGAGATGGTGTCCAGAGCATGTAGTCTGTATGTAGCATCTCACTCTTGACTTAGCCCTGAAAAAATTACATTTATTCCTGCATCCCTCTAGTCCATCTCCCTGTCTCTGTTTTGGTCTGCCATAAGACAAGCAAGGGCAGCTTTAAGAATAAAGAGGAACCTTTCATCAGTGATGAAACACACCTCAGGCAATCAGGGGACTGACTCTTATGGTGGTATCTGGGTTTTCTACCTGTGACTCTCTCTATTTTACTTTCTGTGCTGGCCAGTGTCTATAAGCCAGTGAGGTTGTGGCCCCTTCACCACTGTCCCTGGTCCTGGTCCAGATTGGCAACATTGCTCCCTCTCTGTAAAATAAAGTGGAGAAGGAAAACACAAACCATTCCAGTAACTTTGCCGAGAAAACCCTGAACTGGGGTCACAAAGAATTGCACACAACTGAAAATGACCGAACAATAAAAAGTTCAGTTTAGGGGTCAATGTAAAATCTGAGAAAATGAAAGTGAAAATCCTAAACTATAAGAGAATAACTCGGGTTGAATTCCATTTAGCAAATATTTATTAAATGTCTGCTGTGTGATACATACTGAGGACACAGAGATAAAAATGAATACTCCATCCTCCTATACACATACACACACATACACATCAGAGCACATGTGCTTACACACACACACAGTAAAACATAAGCTTCTTGTAGTGAGCTCTGGCTTCAAATTCAGTACCCTGTTTTATGCGAAGTCCTGCAGGTGAGAAATGACAAGATGAGCCTGAGAAATCCCTCGATATCCACCCCAGCTCAGTGTTATACACACTGTGTGACCTTGACAAACTTTGGTTTCCTCATCTGTAAAACTGAAGCAACTATGATTTGATCATCTACCCTACAGGATAATTGTAAGAAACAAATGAGCTAATGCATAAGAAAACACGATGTAATAAAAAAACAAAAAAGTGCCACATTGATATTTCTTCTTGTTGCCACAAATGGAAAAGACTTCATTATTTCCCCTTCCTTATGCCAGTGGGCACTGTCCTCCCCTCCCAGCCCCAGACACTCTGGACAGTTGGATAGATGACCTCCTGCTCCTGTAGCAAGTGACCAGGTACTCCAGTTAACTCCCCCTATGCCTACCTTATTCTTTTTCCTGAACATTGCTCCAAAGAGTTAATGATTGAGCAGAATCAACCGATAACCTCTGACCAATCTTTGAAGGGAACGAGCCCCCTATAAAACCAGCCTCAGGGCCATGCCAGGCGCCTTCTCTCCAAGCCAGTGTTTTGAGAGAACATCCTTCCACCATGAACTTCTCAGGAAAGTACCAGCTCCAGTCCCAAGAGAATTTTGAAGCCTTCTTGAAGGCTGCTGGTAAGTGCTTAGGAAAACAGCCTTTGGGCATCAAATGTTGGGATCAAAGGGACAGGGGCATTATACTTGTGGTTGCCAGAAGGGATGAACTTAAAATACTAACAGGGAATCTGCAGCAAGTGAAATAATCCAACTAGTGAGGCTCTGGGCAGGCATTCGGGAGCCTGGGTTGGGTCTCAGGGTGAAGAACAACAGAATGAGGAGTCAGATCTGAATGTGAGCCTTGGCTCTGCTCTTAATTCATTCGGTGACATGGATTGCATCATCTCACTGCTCTCAATGTTGGCTTCCTCATCTGGAAAATGGGGATAATAATACTCCCTACCTCCCAGGGCTGTCAGGAGACCCAAATGAGATCCTTTGGCTCTTAGATGCCTTCTAGGTCTGAATGTCTGTTGTATGAACTAGGTCTACCTGATGACATCATACAGAAGAGAAAGGATACCAGGGGAATGTCCGAAATTGTACAAAATGGAAATCACTTCAAGTTCATCGTTAACAACGATAACCAAATCCAGGTGAACGAATTCACCCTGGGGGAGGAGTGTGAGCTGACCACTCCCACTGGAGGAAAGGTCAAGGTAAGAATATAAGTTAATTCAATTTAGGGGCATGTTATTCATTAAGGTGCCGCGTATTAGCCTCTGGGCTAAGCCCTGGAGGAGATGCAAAGATTAGCTAAAACTTGGTCCATAACCCCCTGGAGTAAGCTAGCAGCCTGCTAGGGAGATAAGACACAAACATATCTCTGTTGGCCAACGTGTTGCAAGATAGGTAGATTAGATGAAAAGCAGTCTGGTGGAATATGGTATACAGGACCAGCCAGGAAGCAGTGCCTCCAGCCCATGCTGGCTGTGTTCAGTAGCTGACTTGTTCCTTCATAACCCAGCCCCCTCCTACATTTTCAGTCTTCTCACACCTTACTCCCTGATACATACTCTGCCATCCAGTGACCCTGGCTTCCCAGCTGTTCATGAAACGAGACCCTCCATCTCTCAGCTCCAGCATTCTCCCTGTCTATCCCCCATGTCTGGAATGCTCTCACTCCTCCGCTCAGACTGCTGACTCTGCTGGCTTCCTTAAAGTCCCAACTGTAATCTCCCCCCACTCTTCTACAAGAAACCTTCCCCAACAGTGCAGATTTTCACAATCTAGCCAATAACCCACAGATGCTCAGCTTCCTTAAAACTGTAATATGGCGAATCTTCAATCAACCTTGTCTTTGGCTGAAAAACAGACAACTTTCCCCAACCGCTTAGTTCTAGGGCCTTCCCTCTGTTAATTATTTCTCACTTATCCAGTCTATGACTTGTTTGTACCTGTTTGCTTATTGTTTCCCCGGTTAGATTGTAAGCTCCTTGAGGGCAGGGACTGTCTTCAGTACTTAGTACAATGTGACACATCTTAGACGGTTAATAAATATTTATTGACTGACTCACAGACAGCAAAAGGAAGAGAAGAGAAAAGGGGAGAGGAGGAAAAGTAAGGAAAGGGCTAAGAGAACTAGAAAACAATCCAGCCAGTGAAGTATAGAAACAAGAAGTTCTGCAGGGAATCTGGCTTGGCCTTACTCGAGGGGTGTGCTGGAGCCAGCTGAAACCGGCAGGAGATGCCAGCCCATTGTTAAATTTTAAGTGTGAGCATTTACCCCTCAGAAAATAGTAAACTACAAATCAAGGACTGATTTATTGTTTTATTGATTGCCTACTTTAAAGTGATGGAGAAGTGTTAACACTGCAAATAATACTCAAATGTTAATACTACAGATTATAATGGAAATTTGTGTGTACATTTTTTCCCTCCAGAAAACCAGTTGTTGCACATTTACCAGTGCATCCCTGGCTCACCCCCAGTCCCTAGGGCTTGCCAGAGCTAACTCTTCTGTCTCCCTACAGGGTGTAGTGAATCTAGAAGGAGGTAACAAGCTGGTAACAATTTTGAAAGCAATGAAGTCTGTCACTGAACTGAATGGAGATATACTCACCACTGTAAGTGATCAGGTGTTTCTCTTCCTGCTTGGTTGTGGGGGATGGATCCAAAAAGCATTTGGAGAACATACTAGGTGTCAAGTACTGGGGCTGCCAATAGAATAAGGGAGGCAGTGCCTGCTCTCAAAGAGGAGGGAAGAGGGGATGAGGGAAAGACAGGTGAGGGGATGGAGGACAGTAGAGAAGAGGGAGAAAAGAGGGGAGGAGAGAAAAACATGGAGGACAGCAGGGATGGAGGAG